CCCACATATGTCTATGTGTGATACCTGTAGAGGCCAGATGAGGGAATCAGATCCCTTGGAACTGGAGTTGCAGGAGATTGGTAGCAATCATGGTTTCTGGCAATGTAAACTGTGTCCTCTGCAATAACACTCAGTGCTCTTCATTGCTAAGCTATCTCTCAAGCCATATTTATGTTTAAAATTTATTTTTATACATTTTTAACTAAAATATTTTACATCACTTTCCCCCTTCCTTGTCCTCTCTTCATGTCTTCCCAAATTCTTCTCTTCGAATTTTTTCCTTGTTTAAATATGTGTGAATTAGTATATGCAAATATATGAATAAAACCTGTTGGGTCCATTTCTGTTAGTTATGTGCTATGGTTTTAGGACTGAACATGCTGTTTTGGATACACATATAGGAAGCCTGCCTGAGGCTAATTCACTCCACTTGCTGGAGAATTTTACTCTTTATTGAGCAACTTAAGTCTTACCCTTAAGTGACCTAGGCTACCTTGGACAGAAAACATCAAAAATAGAAAACTCGGAGTGGTAAATACCTCAGCTTACACTTGCTGGTGTCATGGCTCTAAAGTTCTAGAGCTACAGGGAAGACTATTGGCTCACTGTTCTGAGCCAATCATAGCCTTCCTAGGTTTCATGGGCTTCCCACCATACCCCATTGGCCATTCTCCTCTTGGATGATGTTGAAATCCTGAGATTCCTGCCTCCTCTAAGTATCATTGTTACAGGCCTGTGCTACCATGCCTGAATTAGGTGGCTTCACCTTCATTTAGTGAGGCATTAGAATAATAAAATGAGTAAGAGGAGTAGTTACACTTAAGTATCTTGATCTCTGTGAGCCTGGATTTTACCATCTGTAGAATATGAACAGTACTCTGCTCTAGTCGTTTGATTAATAATAATAGACTTAAAGATAAAGAAAAACAATACTGCTCATAGTTAGAAGACAATGGACTTTAAGGTGGGAGGGCTGCATTTGATGGGAACCTTCTTCTGTTACTGGAGTTAGGAACAGAGTCTATAGCCTGGCTACCGAAACAAGCTAGGCAGAGCCACTCACTCTTATTAAGTCAATTAAAAGAACCAAGTTATAATAGGTGGTAGTTCATGCCTTTAATCCTAACACTTGAGAGGCAGAGGTAGGTGGATTTCTGTAAATTTTATGCTAGCCTGGTCTACAGAGCTAGTTCCAGGACAGCCAAGGCTACACAAAAAAACTTGTCTTGAAAATTAAGAAAAAAAAGTGCTGGAGAGATGGCTCAGAGGTTAAGAACACCAGCTGTTCTTCCAGAGGTCCTGAGTTCAATTCCCAGCACCCACATGGTGGCTTACTACCATCTGTAATGAGATCTGGCTCCCTCTTCTGGCCTGTGGGGATACATGAAAACAGAATATTGTATACATAATAAATAAATAAATCTTTAAAAAAAAGAAAATTAAAAAAAAAAGAAAAAGAAAGAAAGAAAAGAAAGAAAGAAGTTAGTTGTCTGTGATTTGCCCATGTATAATTCAAGTACACTGGAGACAAGGTAAGCAAATCTCTCTGATGTTCTAGAAGAGCCTAGTCTATTTGGTGAGTTCCAGGCCAGCCAGAGATTCATAGTGAGAAGATTCTTTAAAAGAAAATAGAAAACAAAAGGAAAAAAAACTGTTAATAAAAAAATTGTAAACATGACTTTTTTTCAGCATGACTAATATGGAACAGTGATGAAGATATAAGGTAATTAATCTCTCCTTGGGGTCTTAATAGGTTTAGATAGATGGCAAGAGATATGCACAACTAAGTAATACAACTAAGCCATATAATGAAAAATTTTCCATCTCTAAAACCCTCCTCCAACCTCAGTTCCTTTCTGTCCTGCAATGTGGTCAGATAAGGAGTAAATGTTTCTTCAGTAGAGACATTCTCATCTAGAGGAGTCAGTCTTTTCCCACAATGAAATTCCCCCAAAAATTAGAAATTCATAGCATCTATTGCTTCATTAGCTGTTATCCAAAGGGAGAGATATAAATGTCTCTTAGAATATCCTTATTATTTAATACTCAGGCAAGTACCAGATATTGATAGGGTGGAAACTAGGGAACTTCAAGGTCCCAGTGAAAATTGAAAAGTGGAGGCTGCAGGGTATTGTCACTGACAGCTACACAAGTTGACAAAGAGTAAAGTGTAGAAGACCTGGAGGTGTCTGACCCACCACAGCTGAGTGGATACCAAGTACAGTCCATGCCAGCTTGTCCTCAGGTACACCCCAAACATTGCTCTGGCATTTGAACTTTGGGCTTTCACACCAAAAAGTCCATCCCTAACAATTCTTTGAAACTCTACAGCTCTTTGTAGAGGCCTTAGCCTTAGAGAGACTTCAGATCAAGTCTCAGGATCTCTTCATAATCTGGATGTCATCTAGAGTCACCACCATTCAGAGCTCCAAACTGAAGGTTTTACAGGCATCAGGAAAGAAAAAAAAAAAAAAAGATCATATTCAGACAAGTCAGACTTCATGCCTGCAAGTTCCTTTTCTCTTATTACAGGAGGTATAAAGTCAAGCAGGGGACACCTGACATGTGAACTTCTGGGTCCCAATTGCTGCCTGTTTACAACACTGGAGATAAATTTACTCTTGTGGCTTTGGTTAAATGGTCAATCATCTTTTAAAGACGTTTATTGTCAGTTTCCCTCCTGATAATTCTTTGTACTTTTCCCTCATTTTGTGGGGACCTAGGCTCAAAAATTTCTATCAGCACCATGTCTAAGTTAGTTTCTGTTGCTATTTTATATTTCTTCTGGGTCATCAGGGCTGATGAACTTAGCAACCATTCACACCTTACTGCTATTAATAACATGTCTGTGGAGATGAATAGAACTTATAATGCTGGCTGCTCATACACAGGGCCTGACTTTAATTTCTAGCACCTAAAAGACAGCTCACCACTGTCTGTACCTACAGTCACAGGGAATCAGGCACCATCTTCTGGTACCTTATATGCACTTGGTATTCTCATTGGCAAAACTTATACACTTAATTTTAATTCTTTTTTAAGATAACAGGCACATGAAGAAAACCTTTTTTTTTTACAATATAGAATCACATACATATCTGTCTTTCACCATTTCCATATCTGATTCCCTAAGAGGCTAGAAGGATGCACCAGATCTCCAGGACCTGGAAATACAAGTAGTTCTGACCAATATGATATGGGTGGTAGGAATCAAACTTGGGTACCCAAGTGGATCAGTGCTATTGAGCCAATTCTCCAGGTCCCAAATATGTCATTAGAATGCTGAAGATGAAGATGTCCCACTGTTCCTTCTGTCTCCTATCACTTAAAGGTAAGGAAAGTCCTCTCTAGATGGTTGTCTAAGGATTCAATGGATTTTTATACCTCTGTGAATGGACTCTCTATATTGCTTCTTATTTTCATTAACACAGTTCTCTTAATGTGATTAAAGATAACAAAAGATTTTGTTGAAACCAGTCAGAATCCAGCCATATTATATTGGGAAAAGTTCCCTAATTTGAAATATGTTTTTTCTTTTTGGAATTTTTTGAGACAGATATGTCCACATAGTCATGGCTGCCCTGGAATTCATTATGAGGACCAAGCTGGCCTCAAACTCACAGACATTGGCCCAACATAGTCTCTCAAGTGCTGGGATTATAACTATACCCCTCTAAATCCAGCTGAGGTGTGTGTGTGTGTGTGTGTGTGTGTGTGTGTGTGTGTGTGTTTTAAAGATTTTTTTGTTTATTATGTATACAGTGTTCTATCTGCATGTATCCCTGCAGGCCAGAAGAGGGCACCAGATCTCATTACAGATGGTTGTGAGCCAGCATGTGGGTGCTGGGAATTGAACTCAGGACCTCTGGGAGAGCAGTCGGTGCTCTTAATGGCTGAGCCATCTCTCCAGCTCTCGAGATATGTGTTTTTAAATGACCTATCATTGAATCAGAAAATAAATAGATAAAATAAGATTTAAAAAGGGACCATCACTGTTTTGATGAACAGTAATATTTCCTGAAATTCTATCATTTAAATGGACAAATCATTCCATATGTTCTCAATAACTAGGTCATTTTATACTTTTTAAATTTCACCCATTTAAAAGTGTTTGAACTATGTTTGTGTGTATACACCTGTGCCATGATGTGTATGTAGGAGTGAGAGGACAACTTACAGTTGTCTATTTTCTACTTCCCCTATATGAGTTCTAGTGATGAAACCTAGGGAGTCATTTGGATGCAAGTGACCTTAATGGCACTTTTTCAGGTTTAAAAATTATTTATGTATGTGTTGATGTAGGAGTATGCATATGCCACTGTCCAGTAGAAATAATAGAAAAACTTGTAGGAGTAATATGGGTTACTAAGAGATAGAACTCAGGTCATCAAGTTAGTAGCTACAAACTTTAATGAATCAGGGAATTCTCTGGCATCAATTGTGGTTCTGAGAAAGTGTTATAAACAAACGTTCATTCCTCAGAATAAACAAATTAGAAAATGTATGGTCATATAAGTATTTTTATATGCAAAGAGGACTTATTATTCAAATTGTCCTGTTTTTCTCTATAATTGCATGAAATTAAGTTTACAATCTTAAGAAGACAATAGGTTACTGTTGTAATATTTCTACTAATCTTACTTGAGCAACAGTGAGATGGCTCAGTGGAAATGGTCTATGGCTGAAAATCTGACCTTGATTACCATATCAAGAGGACAAAAAGTAGAAACCACAAAGCTGTCTACTTGTCTCCACACATCTGCCATGGACCTACAAACCCATAATCATATTATACACACACCATAAATGTTTGTTACAAAATAAATCTTAGTGCCATTACATTACATCTCTAGGTAATTCCCTTAAAAGGCAGTGCTTTGAGATAAAATGCCAAATGGTTAAGTAATGGGGACATGGAGAAGCATGGGACATCAAATTATGTATATATAATATATGTGTATATATCTATAGAACATCAAGCTGTAGTATGAGATACAAAGTTGATTGCTGATTACCATACTTTATTGCATTTTTACCAGATAAATGAAAATACTACTTTCAGTACATACATGAGGTATTTAATGTTTCTTATAGTCTCTTCTATTAAATATTTTAACATTAGCATTGTTAAATTATGTTGACAAAACAGCACATGTTGAGAGTACATCATCTACTCTTGGACTTGTTCTCAGGAGGCAGACTCATGAGGATCATAAGTTGAAATGTATCCCTGAATCATTATTGACATCCAAAACAAGCTGAATAACAAACAACAAAATCTCAAGGAAATTTGTGAAAAAATGAAAAACAAAACCAGGAACAACAACCATTTTACAGACACCCTTACTTGAAAAGTGCAATCAAACACTGCCTGATATTTAAATAAACAATGGATCACTTAGATGATGAGGATACCATCCTATTCATTACAGCAGAAAAATACCTATCTCTAAGCAAAAGTACAATAGAAGATGAACAAAAGCCACAAAAGGAATATAAAGACCACAAAATAAACTTCAACAAATGGAGTTGCCACACACATATATATATACACTTTAGTATGTATCTCAAATGTTTCAAAATAGAAACCACAATGCAGTCATCTCCACCATCAGTCTTATGTGAACATGGTAAGTAATTTACTTCCTTCAAGGCTATAATGAAAAATAAATGAAACATGGTTTTTTTTTTCTTGAAGCTGAAAACAACTATGATATCCAAATCATTTACACAAATAGGGTTTTTCTCTTGCATGTTTGTCCCTATTTCCTGACTTCAAAATGACAAAAATAGGCTTTAAAATATTAACAGTACTAGAGACATGGCTGGGCAGTTAAGAAATGTTCATTCCCAGGACCAAGGTCCAATTTTTGACAACTTCCCTTATTTCCTGCTACAAGAAAATCCAAGGGTCTAAAGTTCCCAGGAATGAGCATGCACATTCACACACACACACACACAAATACACAATGACATCACATAATTATAAATAAAACAACTCTTAAACAATTTTACATTCATGAATGATTTTCTCATGTAAGCATTCACTCCTGTACCACAGGTGTTCAGGTATCTAATGGCTTACTTACAGAGTTTTTCTTCACCATGAATTGGTTCATATAACAAAAAAGCAACATTTAGGCATGAAATCTGAGAAATCAATCCTTCTAAGTTAGTGGTTTCATTTGGAAGTATTTAGGAGATGCTGCCCTGCTAGAGGAAATATGTCACTGGGGGTAGGCTTTGAGAATTTACATCTACATACTATTTCTAGTTCCCACTCTCTGCTTCATGCTGCAGGTTAAAGATGTGAGTTCTTACCTTCCTGCTTTAGCTGTCGTGTCTGACACTGTTGCCATGCCACTTTCGTGGTGTTCCTATATCCCTCTGGAACCAAGGGCCAAATTAAACTCATTTATAAGCTGACCTAGACATTATATCACAACAAAAAAGGAGCTAACACAAATTCATAAAGGTTTATACCTGAATTAGTTATTTCATGTAATTGAAGAGAAGTATAGAATCTAAAAGGGTTACATTATTGTTTATATTCATAGTGCAAGTGTTAAAGCTCTGGTGGGAAAGGTATCCTGACTATCATTGTCATGCTATACCTATAGCTGTCAAAGGAAGGTCTCCTGGATACCTACAGCTCTGAAGAGAAAGATACTCTGACTGTTGGAAATCAGGCCATACCTACAGTTTTGAAGGGAAGATATCCTGGATACCTACTGCTGTGAGGAGAAAGGTACCCTGACTGTTGGGAAGTCAGGTTATACATGAAGCTGTGTTCCAGTAAGGAATGATATTCCTGCAGAATGCAGTAATCCTGCTCCTCTCCAAAAGGGAGCCATTACAGCTGGGTTCTGTGACACTACACTAAGAGAGTTACCCAGCAGAGATGCCCATTGCTGCTCTGCCCCACTACCCTAAGGAAGTTTCTCAGCAGAGCTGTCAATTGCTTCTCTGCTCTGCTCTACTAGGGAGTGTCCCATCAGAGTTGTCCATTTCTCCTCAGCTCCAGCCAAAATTGTTACTTCTCTGCTTCACTCAAGTAAGAGGAAATGGCTGTAGAAATGCAGCAGTCTCTAGTGAAAAGTTGTTACTTCTGCTGTGCTCCTTAAAGGGAGTTTGACAGCAGAGGTGTCCATTGTTTCTCTGATCCAAGCCAATAGTGAGATTCTGAACTGCTTCAGTGAAAGATCTTCACCCAAAACTCATTCAAGAGACTTATTTGGAAGAAAGGAATCCAGGAGAGCCACTGCCTCTGCCAGGGTGGTAAAAGGCAGCTGCCAAATGAACAGGCACAGGGCTTGAACAAGCTCAAAGATTGGCTGTATTTCATGCTCAGGCATTGGTTGGTTTCAAGCTCAGGGGTTGGTTGGTTTGGTGCTTTGTTGGTCAAGGGTAGAGTGTGTTTCCTGGGTTCTGGTTTCAGGTCCAAAGTGTGTTTCTTTCACTGGCTCCTTTTAACATTTTGGGTCTAGTTTCAGGGTCAGGGTGTTTCTATCACAGGTTCTTGGTTCAGGGACAAAGTGTTTCTTTGTCTCTTATTTCAGGGTCAAAGTGTGGTTTTAGCTCTGATTTCGGGGCCAAGGGGTGTGTCTTTCACTGGCTCTATTTTCATGGTCAGGGTGTGTTTCTGTGCCTGGCCCTTTTACCCCATACATAAGCTTTCATAAATTCCTAAGTTCATTTGTTCCATGAGTTTTCTGGTGTAAGCAATGTAAAAATGGACATCAAAATGTTGAACAGATTGTTTACATTGTCAAATATTTTTCTTCAGAATACACACTCCTGTGTAACTGATTATAAGTGTATTGGATAAAGATCTTACCAAATAATTTATAATAAGATGCCAACAGTATCTTTTTCAGATAGTCAAAAACTATTGTGATATGGAAAGGCTTTAACAGATTGATTACACACAAAAAGTTTTACTCCTGTATAAAGTACAAAACTTTACCACACTGACTATATTTATAGGGTTTCTTTGCAGTATGACTTTTTCTCATGATTTTTAAGATTACTCATACATGTAAAGGCTTTACCACACTGATTACATTCATAGTGTTTCTCTCTAGTATGTGTTCGTTTATGCCTTTGTAGATGACTGTGTTGTGCAAAGGCTTTAGCACACTGATTACATTCATAGGGTTTCTCTCCAGTATGTGTTCTTTGATGCATTTGTAGACTACTGACATATGCAAAGGCTTTAGCACACTGATTACATTCATAGGGTTTCTCTCCAGTATGCGTTATCTTATGCATTTGAAGACTTTTTTGACATGCATAGGCTTTGTTACATTGATTACATTCATAGGGTTTCTCTCCAGTATGTGTTCTTTTATGACTTTGAAAACTTTTGTGACATGCAAAGGCTTTACCACATTCATTGCATTCATAGGGTTTCTCTCCATTATGTGTTCTTTTATGCATTTGAAGATGACTGTGTTGTGCAAAGGCTTTACCACACTGATTACATTCATGGGGTTTCTCTCCAGTATGTGTTCTTTTATGCTTTTGAAGATGACTATAACATACAAAGGCTTTACCACACTGATTACATTCATAAGGTTTCTCTCCAGTATGTATTCGTTTATGCCTTTGAAGATGACTGTGTTGTGCAAAGGCTTTATCACACTGAGTACATTCATAGGGTTTTTCTCCAGTATGTGTTCTTTTATGCATTTGAAGATGACTGTGACATACAAAGGCTTTTCCACACTGATTACATTCATAGGGTTTCTCTCCAGTATGTGTTCTTTTATGCCTTTGAAGATGACTATGTCGTGCAAAGGCTTTATCACACTGAGTACATTCATAGGGTTTCTCTCCAGTATGTGTTCTTTGATGCATTTGAAGATGACTGTGTTGTGCAAAGGCT